GCAGGAATGGAGATAGCACAAATCTGGAGGGTTTTGGATTTGGCTGTGACTCTGATCTAAGCTTTGGGACACTGGTTGACCTGGGCTGGGCGAGCAGTTGGGGGTTTGGAGATGCCAGGGCACACAAGGTGACCCCACTGTCCCCAGTGAAGGGGAAATGGCAGCTGATCTCAGCTGCCACTTGGTGCCAACACCTCTGAGGCACAAGCCCTGTTCCACTTTGTTTGCCACAGCGTGCACATCACACACTTGGCACAGGCTGGAGATGTGTCACCAAAGGTAAGAATGCTTAAACCAGTGAAAAATGTGTCTCCCAGTGAACTTTCACCAGGAGAAAGGGGAACGGACTTGGCTGCTCCTCTTCCCTTGAGTTGCTTCACCTGAGCTCTCTTCTGACTGGGAATAAAACCCTCCTGCCTCCTGCCAGGCTCTATAATTCCACCAAATATAATCCTGAGTATCCTGAGCTCAGCCTGGTCTGGTCTTAAAGAAGACCTTCCAGGATCTTCTTTAGATGTCCCCAGTTGCCCATAGCCATTTCCAGCTAAACTCAAGGGGACTGGGCATACAGCCCTACTAAATTATGAGTATTTTTGGTTTCTTTCTCTCCCCAAGGAAACACGTGGGGCAGAGGACTCTCCAGGCAACATGATGGGCATGAAGTCTCTCCAGAAAGGAACAGCAAGGTTGACCTGTGGTTCTGCAGGGAGCCACGGACAAGGGATCTGTTCTGGGACACCTCCAGCACTGGCTCTGAGGAGTGGGAAAGGGAAGAGAAGATTTACCACAAACGTAGGCTTGTGAGAACCAAGACAGAGAGGTTTTCTCTCTTTGATGACTTCTTTGATAAGGACTTCTAGTGGTGGGGTGGGAGGGACACGCTGAAGAAAAAAGCTCCAGCCTTGGTGGAGCTGAAACCCCTCCAGATGGATGGATTGGAGGTGGAGACATGATGTGGGCAGTTAGTGGCACTTCTGGGAGGAAGGTCCAGTGGAAAGGACAGCTGGAAACCAGGAGGTCACTGGTGTGGAGTGAACAATGACTGGCTGGGCTACGTGGCTGAACCAAAATATCTGTGGAAGAAATGGCTTGGACTGAGCAACAATGAAGTCAATGTGGAAGGAGGAGAAGGAGGCTGCAATAAAAAACAACAACCAACCCAAGGAGAAGCTGAAAATTATTCTGGGACAACCCCAAATATTAAGTTCCAGCTGAAATGAAATGTTTCTTTTATTTTTGGGTTACTCAACCTTTCCATTGAACTTTCTGTTTTTAACCTTACATCCTTTTCTAAACCACAAGAAAAATCCCAGTTCAAAATGCAAGGTAAAATGGTTCCTTCAAGAAACCTCTAAAATAAATATTCTGGCATTTCTAAAATTCTTTTTTTTTTACTCTGTCTTTTTTTTTTTTTTTTAATTATTTCCTTTCCTCCCCTGCTCTGGACACCAAAATACATTGACTTTCTTCAGTACCAACCTCCCGTTTTATGGTTCATCTTCTAAACAGCTGGTGTTTGTTCACTTGCCTTCTCTCTTCAGGGTTCAATCCTGCAGAGGGAGTGGTGGAACCTGAGGGATCTCCAGCATCTTCTGCAGTCACACACCCCAGCTCTGCAGCGTGATGGTCCAGGAATCCACCAGGAATTTGGTTGGACTGCCCTGTTGCATCCTGACATTTCTTAATTTTTAGAAAAAGATGGTTATATGAAGGGTGCCTGATCTATCAAAAAGATCCATGCAGATCCATCCCTCCTAAACTGTATTTTTTAATAAATTGTCAGCTTTTCTTTCTAAAATAATTCATCATCTGAGAAAGAACTTCACCCTGGTCTCCTAGTTCCTACCTGGTTGTCTTTGTAGGTCCATAAAGGCCACCACAGTCAAGGTGCATCATCTTTGTGGGAAACAGTAAGTCATCCAAGCACAGACAAAACAATTCACTGGAATTTCAGTGATGGATCTGATTTTTATGTGGCAAACTGGGTATGTGGGGGACTGGTGCTACACTAGGGGAGGGAAAGAACCCACCAGCAGCCATGGCAAGAAGACTTGCCTGATTCACAGCACCAATTTTACCTCTGCTTGAAGTTGCAGAACTGACAAAGGGCATAAAATCTTCCTCACACCTCTTGCTTGTCTCCCATGGTTGCTTTCCACTTAGTCTCTCTAAAAACCTTCCCAAAGGTAAAACATCTTCAAACCAGCTTGTTAGCACAGGACAGGGACTCCTGGAGTAAGAAACACAATTATAATCACAGAGACTTTCAATTCCTTCTGCTGGAAATCTTATCCTCTTTTTTTTAAGCTGTTCAACCTGGAGAAGAGAAGGCTCCAGGGAGGCCTTAGAGCACCTTCTGGTACCTGAGGGGCTACAGGAAAGCTGGGGAGAGAATTTTGACCAGGATATGGAGTGATAGGACAAGGGGAAATGGTTTTAAACTAAAAGAGGGTAGATTTATATTAGATATTAAGAAGAAATTCCTTACTGTGAGGGTGGTGAGACCTTGGCCCAGGTTGCCCAGAGAAGCTGTGGCTGCCCCATCCCTGGCAGTGTTGAAGGGCAGGTTGGATGGGGCTTGGAGCAACCTGGGCTGGTGGGAGGTGTCCCTGCCCATGCAGGGGGGTGGGACTGGGTGATCTTTAAGGTCTCTTTCAACCCAAACCAGTCTGTGATTCTATCTGAAGCTCTCAATTATCCAGCACAGATGAGGCATATCCTGCATCACTCTCTGGAACCTTTGCTACCTCCCACAAAGTTGTTTCAGGTGTGTCTGCACTGCATTCTCAGCTTTCTGGACCACTTAGCCAGAAAAAGAGCAGGAGACACATTTCTACACATATTTAGGGGAATTAGACACCCATGGCTGACTCAGTTCCAACATTATTTGTCTCTCTCAGGCTTTATTGAAAATCCAAGACAGAGCAAGAGGTGGAAATCACAGCCAATGCCCCAGGTCAAACCAGGAACCTCCAGCACAGCTGCCCAGCACAGGGCTTCTCTGTCCTGATTTCACCTCTTTCTCCTTTTTGACATCCCTGAATGTACAGCCCATCACAACTTGTCTACGTGCTTCATGGAGAAACTTGCTCCTTGGAGAAAGCCCACACACTGGGGTGATTTCACTGAGAAGCCAAGAAAATGAACGCAACATAGAGGAGGAGGAGGAAGAGAACTGATTTTAATGAGAAAGGAGAACTGCTCAAGGCTAATGAGTCCACATCCAGAGTCTGTGTGTTTTAAAAAAAGCCCCAGAGAACTTTGCTGATAAAGATGGTCATCTTGTGTGAGCTGGAAATACCATGAGAGCTTTGAATTCAACACTGAGGGTAAGCTGAAGAGGTCAATGATTTAATGGGCTGAAACAATTCATCTGGCACTTGTCTATACACCTGTCCTCTTAATGATGTGACACATCTCCCTTCTGGATGCCCATCTGTCAACAATTAAGCTATAATTAGTGAAAATGCAATTTATCTCAGATAGAGCTGATTAGTTTTCCAATAATCACATTGCCAATGCTGGGGAAGAGCAGTGCCCATGGAGAAGAACATGTGCACCATTCAATCCATATCACACAGAAGAAACTAAGCATTAATTTATCAACTTATGATGTGCAAACTTGTCTGTTAGGGAGGCAACAAAATCAGCAAACCTGCCTTCTACTTCAGGTGCTCAAAAATTGTTTACTGTGCTGCCCTTGGTGGTATTAATTACTCATAACCTGTGGAGTTATGATGAATAACTCATCCTCATCTTATGTTTTCCATCATCCTTCCAGAGGCTGGAAATGAAAATGTGGGGGTTTTTTAATACTGAATGTGAAAAGTAGATTTTTTTTTTGTGAGTTACAGAAGATTAAAAAACATCCCCACAAGATGCAACACAGCAAGGAAGGCTTTACAGAGCTGGTTTTCTCTGAATTGCTCCTGACTCCAACTGCTCAATATTAGCTCAACATCTGAAGGCTGAGTCACTATGGCCACCCATGGAGAGGGTGAGATTTGTCCCCACAGCCTCAATCCCAGTCACACACCACAGAAACCAGCACCTCTGCTTGAGCAGAGCCCCTCACCTTGAGGTGCCTCCCTGGGACACAGAGGCTGGAGCAGGATGGGAGCCTGGCTGGCAGGCAAGGATGCAGGCTGGGTTTTGAAGGGTGATGGAACCTGCATGGGGTTTGCTTCTGGTGGTGCAGAGCAATGCATAGTCTGAGGAGGAACAGGCAAGAGAGAAGATTTCAGAGCAGGAAAGTGGAGCGAGATTTGTCTGATGTAACTCTGGGATCATAGAATCAGAGAGTCATTTGGGTTGGAAAAGACATTTAAGATCATCAAGTCCAACTGTCAACCCAGCCCTGCCAAGGCCACCACTGCCCCATGTCCCTCAGCACCACATCTACAGGCTTTGAAATCCCTCCAGGGATGGGGACTCCCCCCCCTGCCCTGGGCAGCCTGGGCCAGGGCCTGACAGCCCTTTGGGGAAGAAATTGCTCCTAATATCCAAGTAAACCTCCCCTGGCACAACTTGAGGCCATTTCCTCTTGTTCCTGGGGAGCAGAGCCCGACCCCCCTGGCTCCAACCTCCTCTCAGGCAGTTGCAGAGCCAGCAGGTCTCCCCTCACCTCCTTGTCTCCAGGCTGGACACCCCCAGCTCCCTCAGCTGCTCCTCCTCACACTTGTGCTCCAGCCCCTTCCCCAGCTCCCTTGCCCTTCTCTGGACACGCTCCAGCCCCTCCATGTCCTTCTTGTGGTGAGGGGCCCAGAACTGACCCCGGGATCTGAGGTGCCCCCTCCCCAGTGCCCAGCACAGGGGGATGATCCCTGCCCTGCTCCTGCTGGCCACACCAGTGCTGACACAAGCCAGGATGCTGGTGGCCTCTTGGCCACCTGGGCACACTGCTATCTGGGGCTGTGAAGACCTTCTCCTTCTGGCTAAGAAAGTGTTTCTGCAGGTACCTCACAGCAACCACTCAGCTTTGAGGCAAGGCTGGACCCATCCCACAGGTTCAACTTACACTTAGTGGGGAGAGGTGTTAGGTCAGTACAATTGAACAAAGCCACAGTCACTGGATCCCATCCAGCACTCTGGATTAGTGTGATTTTCTAACCTTCCTGGGCTCTGTCCCACCTGGTGCTCAGAGCAGGTGACCTCCTCAGGAATGCAAGGTTTCAGCATCATCCAGCACCCACCCTTTCCCAACACGTGCACACAACCAAAAGCAGAAGAACCCACTCTCAAAGGCACAGGGATATATTCCCTAACCTTCTAAACCCTTTCTCTGCCCTGCCTTGCTGACAGGTGTGTGACAAGCAACTGGGATTGCTTCAATCTGCTGCCACAAAGCCACAAGAGAAAAGCACTGAAGAACATAAAGCTGAGCAGCTTTGTTTCAGGCTGTACATCAAGATTAAGGTATTATCACCAGCTTGAAACATATCAGTGTGGAACATTTTAGTTTGTCTTACTAGGTATCCTCAGACTGTGCTGTGATAGCACAGCCCTAAACCTCCTGTTTTCCAATGCTGGAGATGGTGATTAAGCCCTTATGGTTCCCAGCTTTCTTAAAATAATGCCCAAGCAAAGTCAAGAGATGGCACAAGTGTCCCCTAATGAATGAAGAGGAGGGAGGCAGCTCTTGTTTCTCTTCTAAATCTCTTTACCTGCTCCCTTTATGGGATGTTGTCCTTTCTGGGATGTCTCCTCCCAGGACAAGGGGACATCTGCAAGGATCTCTGGCCCAGGAAGAACATGATCCATCTCCAGCAGCGGGATGGAGCTGCCCACAGGTAACTCCTGGTCTTGCAAGAGTCAGAAAAACATTTCTTTCTTGCTTAGCACAAGGGTTGTAGCTTTTTGC